GTTTGTAAGCCGCTCTGAGACACCTTTGGGTTGTGAAGGGCGGGGTATAGATCCAATCTCCTCCTCCTCCTCCTCCTCCTCCTCCTCCTCTTCTTCTTCTTCTTCTTCTTCTTCTTCTTCTTCTTCTTCTTCTTCTTCTTCTTATTCTATTTGAGGTTATTCACCCTTCTATGCATTCCTTTGTCCTTTGGAGCATGAACTTTACACCTGGAATACAACTCAGACAGTGCTGAGAGATCAGCTGTCCAGCTCAGAGAAAGAAACCAAGAAAAATCAAATATGCTACAGATGAATCAACCAATCAATATAAGGACAGTAACACCACCTCACCTTCTATCAGAGAGAAGCATGCTGATATAATGTTCTCAGGTCCAAAGGAAAAAAATCCCTTTCAAGTCAGTAATTTCCATAATCTATCAAAATGTAGATCCATCTTTGGATGCCATTTTTTTAAAAAATAGTCCTCTGTGTCAAATGACTTGTCTATCTCGGTTATCTTCTACATCACCAGGGACTCTGTCTCAGCTGGCTTTTCACTACAAAGCTCTTGTATCTGGCATCTCTCCAGTTCAAAGAAGCCAAAAAATTATTCTTGGGCAGGAAGCCTGTTCTATTTCTCTTCCCTGCCACAGTTTAAGCGAGAAGTTGATAAATCCCACTGAGGTCAACATCTAACGAACTGAAGGAAATAACTCATTGAGGATGGGACCATCAGTAAATAAGCAAAGTAAAAGGGGGAAACAAACTCAACTGAAAAAGTACTGAGAATGTCTCAAAGGCCTTATTTTTTTAACTACATTATTGTATACACAATCTAATAAATATATTTATTTTAATATAAATTCTGTCTGCTGTAGCCATGAGGAAATGACACTTAGCTTCTCTAAAGTCAACTAAAGTAAAGGTAAAGGTTCCCTTTCTCGAAAGCCAGTCAAATCCGACTCTAGGGTTGCGGTGCTCATCTCCGTTTCCAAGCCGAAGAGCCAGCGCTGTCTGAAGACATTTCCATGGTCATGTGACCAGCATGACTAAACACCAAGGCGCGCGGAACACTGTTACCTTCCCACTGAAGGGGTACCTATTTATCTACTTGCAATTTCTTGCTTTCGAACTGCTAGGTTGGCAGGAGCTGGAACTAGAGACGGGAGCTCACTCCATCATGCGGCACCCCTGGATCTCGAACTGCTGAACTACCGACGTTTCCCAGCCTGCAGTTCAGCGTCTTAACCACTTGAGCCACCGCAGCTCCAAAGTCAACTAAACAGACACCTAGAATGGACTTCCATTATGGACGGGGAATTACGAAACCATTTTCCAGGTGGAGAAGACACCAAAATGTGACACTTCAGGTGGCTTTTCCTTCAATTTACTTATGAGGAACCAGGGAGGCTGGCCCATTAGGGCACATAAAGCAGTGCTCCTCCCAGTCCCAGCTGTCCTCAGTTCCGCCTTGCCTGCCTCCTTCTTTACTCCTGGTCCACATCAAGTCAGGTTGAGGGTTGCCAGCCTCTAGGTAGGGCTTGGAGATGTCCTGGAATCACAACTGATCTCCAGATGACAGAGATCAGTTCTCCAGGATAAAATAGCTGCTTTGGAGGGTGGGCTCTATGGCGTTATAGCCTGCTGAGGTCCCTCCCTTCCCCAAAATGCAACCTCCCCAGACTCATCCCCCCCCCGAAAAAAAAATCTCCAAGAATTTCCAACCCAGAAGATGGCAACCCTTGTAAGGTCAGTCCTTAGTAGTCGGGGATTGGAGGGCTCGGCAGGGAAACATCAACTTACAAAGGCTCATGGGCAGAGCCTTAAAGGAGGAGGGAAGGTTTTCTATCGGTGGAGGTCCTCATGAAGAAGAAACAATGGAGGAGCTGTCCTGGGAGGAGCTGAGAACAGACTGATCAATGAATTCTGCTGTTACGTTGGGTCCCTACTTATTTTTATTTTTATTTATTTTATCATTCAATTTATATCCCGCTCGAACCCCGAAGGGTCTCTGAGCGGCTTCCACAATCATTGGTTCCTAACTAAGGCCACAATTATACGGGGGGTGACTTCCTACCAGCACCCGGCAGCAGGGCTTGTTGTTGGAGTCTGTCGTCTTCCGGAAGCCTCGGATGTCGGCACTCCACGTCCAGTGTCCTGGGGCAGATTTCTTCCTTTTCCGTGGCTTCCTCCGACAGGCTCCTCCAGTGCACGGGCCCGCGACCGCCGCAGCTCCGACTATCGTCCCTTTTGGCTCCGTTGCGCTGCGCCGACACGCCGCCGTACCACCGTGGCTCCGCCTCTTCTGGATTCTGCCGCTCATGCCACGCTCGCAGGGCACTCCTCAGCTGCTCCATTGCTTCACTTGCCACTCTGCCATCGCCATTCCGTTGCCACCGCCGCCGATGCCTCTGCTGCACGCCCCACCGGAGGAGGGTGCCCCCTGCCACCTAGGGCAGGGACCCATTTATCTACTTGCTAGATATTAATGCTTTCGAAACACTGGGTGCTGGGTGGGCGGGAGCTGGGACTAGGGCTGGGAGCTCACCCCGGCCGTGGTGGGTCTCGAACAGCAATAGTGCTGTTCGTTGATGTTATAGCAGGCATTCTTACTGCCTGCACCACCGCTCCCTTAAGAGCTCCCTTTTGGAGCGGCTCCCTTTTCTTCGCACATGTAGCATGATTTTGATTACATTACAAGTTTCTTTGTTGATCAGGCATGAATACCCCTCTATTCTTTTACTGGAAACCTTTAGGGAAAAGAATCCAGGGCCAAACTAGACATTACATGCAACACGAATCAGGTCTCACTTGTCTGACGCGTTCATGCAGGGAGTAGCCTTAAAAAAAATCTCTTTTTCACTCTGTGCAGCTCCAAACATTGTGTGGGAGACGAGGCCATTTTCTCCAGTGGTAACACCCACAGTGGGGGCCTGGCTGTCCCTTCCTCAGGGTACACATGCCCTGGGGTGACCCTGGGGAGCCCAAGGAAATGGGAAACAGGAAAATTGCACAGGGGGGGGCAACCCTGAAGTCCCCCCATTCCCTCTCACTGCATTTGGAGTTACATGGAGCAAGATTCTTGCAGGTTAGTCCTCATATGAATGTGTGGCTAAGAGCCGGGTCAGGCACCTACGATGTGACTCACATTACACATAACATTTAGTTTGGCCCTTACATACAATTTCATCCGTTGTTATATTTCTGCTTAACTCGAGCCTGACTCTAAGACATTCTTTGAACCCACGATTCCTGCATCATTGCTTAGGGTAAGTAACTGTTTGTCCTCTCCCAAATCAGGAACAGAGGGCCAACCACTTGTGTGGTTGCCCTTTTATCCGGAGCTGTATGCAAACGCAGGGGCCGCTTTCCTGTTTAAAGGAGGTCTCCACTCTCCTTGGGCCAGCTACCTTGGGTCCCTGTGTGTGTGAGTGAGGACTGTCACGTCAAACCCTCTCAAAGCCTCTCGAAATGATGATGTGGCTTCAACTTGTTTGCACCTCAATAGTATTTAGAGGTGATTTCTGTTCTTCTGATATAGAATATTGTTACATTTTGAATCTAGCTGTGCAGCAGATCTATTTAAAATCTGGCTGTCTGTCTTTCTAGGCATCCTATCAGAGGTGCAGCTGGTGGAATCTGGAGGGGATGTAAAGAGGCCCGGAGAGTCCCTCCAACTTTCTTGTCAAGCTTCTGGGTTTTCCTTTGGCAGCTACCGGTTTAACTGGGTCAGGCAGGCTTCTGGGAAGGGCTTGGAGTGGTTGGCCTATATAAGTACATCTTCAAACCCCATCTACTACTCAGATTCTGTGAAAGGACGATTCACCATCTCCAGGGAGGATTCCAACAACCTGCTGAAGCTGCAAATGAACAACCTGAAAACTGAAGACACGGCTGTGTATTACTGTGCAAGACACACAGTGAGAGGAAGTGAATTTGTAGCCAGGCAAAAACCCTCTTTCTGTGCTGACAGCTGTCTGAGCCAGTTCTTCTGCAAATTGCCAAGTGCAAGAAATTAAGAACATTTAATGAATAGTCTATTTTACTGAATGTAATCGGTTCAAGAACTAGTCTCCCTACCAGTGTTCTCTCTAAGCTGAGTTAGTGTGAGCTAGCTCACAGTTTTTTAGCCTCTGGCTCACACATTTTTGCCTTAGCTCAGGAAGGATCGCTCCAGAGCAAACTAATTTATGCAGTAGCCAAATCACTCGCTCACAGCTTTAATGCCAGTAGCTCACAAAGTAGAATTTTTGCCCACAGGACTCCACAGCTTAGAACATTGCTCCCTACCAAGGGAATTTTGGGAGCTATACTTCTGTGACAGGAGTCAGGGGTTTCTGATAGGATACTCACCAAACTATAGTTCAAAGATTATTTGGGTGACATCAGGAGTGATGGCAAATAGCATTAACCCAATATAAGTCTACAGTGCATGCATTTCATACTTCAGATGGAACTTATAGGTCTCTTTATAGTGGTTAGGAGTGCAGACTCTAATCTGGGAGAACCAGGTTTGATTTCCCCACTCCTCCACATGCAGCTGCTGGTGTGACCTTGGGTCAGTCACAAGTTCTTTCAGAACAGTTCTCTCAAGGGCCGTTCTCTCAGAGCTCTCTCAGCCCCACCTACCTTGCAGGGTGTCTGTTGTGGGGAGGGGAAGGGAAAGGAGCCTGTAAGGCACTCTGAGACTCCTTCTGGTAGTGAAGGGCAGGGTATAAATCCAGTCTCTACTTACTGTGATGGGAACCCACAATTCAAACAATAAAGGGAGGGGGAGAGCACAGCTCATTATGTCCAAATCTCCTTGCTGGTCAGCAGCTCAGCAGTCAGCCAAGCCTGGGGAGTGGGCTGCAGCCAACTTGGACCAGGGCAACAGCTTCTGTTATAGCCCAGCTGCAGGGTGGACATTGTGGCTGGGCCCTGTCATTGAGGGTGTGGTGTAGGGTGGATCAGAGGTTCAGATCAGGTGGGTCGGCCCAGGGGCTTTGGGAGTTGATGTGGTAGCGTCAGCGATGACTGAGTTCAGGGAGAAGAAGCTGGAGCCGGCCCATCTTCCCATGGGGTGAGCTCAGCAGAGAGGGGGCAGTATGGGTGGGAAGGTCCTGCATCCACTGGGATCTGAATAATCAGTTGGGAGAACACCCAGAAGGACCAGGAAGGGAGAAGACGGAGCAAAGACCTGCCCTATAAACCAGACTACTGGAGACCAGCGTGCCTACCCACCTGAAGCTTTCTGTAACCATTTGTTCATTTTGGAGATGGACAATTTGCCATTTGAAAAGAGACTTCTTAACACGTTGCATGATATGATAACCCTTTCCTGATGTGAGTTAATTCTGTAAATCGTTCCTACTTCCTTTTTCTTAATTATTTTTTGTACCCTACTATGGCCCCGGTCATATGGGCCAGAACGCGGGGGGGAGGCGTGGCTGTTTGCCCCGGAGCAAAATAAAGCATGGTAGCCCTATCACACAGTCCCCCGAGTCTTTGCATTTAGGCTGTTCGCTGGCAATCACATGGCAATGCTGGAGCATGGCAAAGTCGCGGCACGGCAAGCATTTTGCATTTGTGCGCATGCGCAGTTCCATGGAGCAGCACTGCTTTCAGTTATGTGTTTGTGCGTATGCGCTTACAAAAAACATCCGGTTTGTGACAGGATGTGGACAGGCACCGGATGCCACAGGATACTAGTGCTCCCGCGATCAGATGTCTGCCCCTGCACTGTGTTTTCCGGATACTAGTGCACTTTCTGAGGTACTTTTTTACTGCACATCTTTGGCGGGATGCCACAGGTTGGCCACAGGTGCGCTATGCTTCCCAAATGTTGTGGTGTGATCGCGCCCCGAAAATCCACCTGACATTTGTGCCTTTAGTGCGGCAAATCCTCTGTGTGACCGGGGCCTATATTGCACTTTTATTTTCACTGAATGAGGGAGTGGCTAGAACCTCTGACCTATCTCATCATTCATTATGTATATCTAGACAACCACCCTGAATATGATACCAGGCCTCTCTTCCAAAACTCCTCCATCTTTCCCCCTCCATTTCTGCAATTTTTTAAGGGAAACTGTGTTCTTTCTTTCTGTTGTATGTGAGGAAGTAAGCTCCATATCGCAAAAGGTCATACTTCAGTAAATATTGTTAGCCTTTATGATGCCACTGGACTTCTACAATTACAGAAGGTCCAGGTTTTGTTATAGCAGGCTGTGAAAGGCCAGATGGATGCAGAAGAAAATGAGAAAGGGCAAACCTTGACCACTCTAATGAGCAATACGAGGGAAAAGGGTTCATTAGCCACCCATACCAGGAGATGGTCATGTGGACCTGTTCCACAGGGATTCACAGGTATCATTTAGGCAGAGTTCATAGATCTATCCCAATTCTCAACACACACGCCTGTACAAATATCTGTTCATAAAGTCAGGGCAGAAGATTCTCATCCTTTTTTTATCAGAAGGGGGCAGCAATTCTCTAAAAAATGATTGTGATGAATAATAATTTTTAGCCTGACTTGTGGTTTTCACTTCAAGGTTGGTTAATTCCTTTGCCATCTGTCAGATGTCAAATGCTGTCAAGTTGCAGCTGGCTTATGGTGACCCTGGAAAAGGGTTTTTAAGGCATGTGAGAAGCGGAGGTGGTTTACCCTTGCCTTCTTCTGCAGATACTTCCTTGGAGGCCTCCCTTCCATGTGCTGACCTTGCTTAACTTTTGATATATGATGAGTTTGGGATCTACCAGGGCACCTCCCCACCCCATCTGTTAGACAGCTAATATTGTACCAATCTCTTGAGGCTATCATTCCCCAAAGAATTTGCTATAAATTTCTGTTAGTAACTATGATCCCTGTATGATGTTTTCCACAGAGCAAGGGCACGATCACATCATACCAGATACATAATGTTAACTTTTCTTTCCAACAAATAGAGAGAGATGAATTCCAACCCTCTTGGAAATCCATGGTGGGGGAAAGAATCCTGGTCAATATAACATGCAGGTCTACCCTAAAGCCAGAATAATTAGCCTTTAGCTATCCCTTTTCTGTATCCATCTACTCTTTGGAAGTAGAGATTTCACAGCCTACCCCCTACCCCCATTCCCGAGAGACTTATATTTTATTCTTGGTCATGGCCAGTGTTCCCTCTAAGTTGAGTCAGTGTGAACTAGCTCACGATTTTGTAGCCTCTGGCTCACATATTTTTGTCATCACTTAGGAAGGATGGCACCAGAGCAAACTAATTGATGCAGTAGCCAAATCACCTGCTCACAGCTTTAATGCCAGTAGCTCACAAAGTAGAATTTTTGCTCATAGGACTCCACAACTTAGAGGGAACATTGGTCATGGCACCAAAATCTTGAA